ACTCGGATTTTAATTTTTGCCAAAATATCGATTATGCGAAGAAGATAGATTTGATTTTCCATGAGTGTGGAGACACCAATGTTGGTGATTCTCTTGCATAGTAATAATTATTAAAGTTTTAATTGAACTGTGCTGACTGAATAACTGAGTAAAGGGGAATTAATTTTTTTTCTTTCTTATGGTGTCTCGTGTAAAAAGCAGTTTTGTAGAAGTAATTTCGTTTCCAGTGATTTTTCTTTTGTTTTTATTTTTTTGTTGTTTTTTTTTTTTGTTTCCGAATACGATCAGAACATTCTGGCTAGGTTCGCATGCTGTGTAATTGTGGCGGTTTTATGAGAAATGCTTATATATATATATATATATATATATATATATATATATATATGAAGAAATATAGTCTTAAGATGTGCTCTATTTATAGAAGTCAACACTTCGAGGCAACAGTCTGTTTCATGCTAAATGAAATCGTCAGGTCACGAGTGCTGTTATTTTTCTCGGCTATTTATATATACAGGTCAGTGGTGCATTGTGGGTAGTCTATTTTGGCGGTTATTTTACCGGAAGTCGTTTATTTGTTTATTTATTTATTTGGGTGAAATTATTTTGCTTGTTTTTATTTATTTTTAATTTTTATTTTTATTTCTTATATTATACATTTATTTATTTATTTTTATTTTTATTAGTCGGTGTTTTTATTAACGTAGTAAAAATTTGTTTAACTTCCTTATTTAATAGTTTTTTGTTTTTCTTTTTGGTTTGGGAAGATAATTAAAGTACTTATTCAAATTTGAGGTTGATTGTTGTAGTTTATTCTAGCTATTATTTTGGCGGGAGACGTTTTACATATATATATATATATGTGTGTGTGTGTGTGTGTGTGTGTGTGTGTGAAAAGTGTATATAAATACAAATAAATATTTATATGTATAATTATTTATATATTATATGCGCGGTACTTATTAGAAAGCGCTCAATATCAGAGATAGAGCTAACATATTTGGTTGGATAGATGTGAGTTTGTGACCCTGGGTTTCACGCTTTAGCGATCGTCAGACAAACTGATTAATGTCTTAAAAAATTTAGGTTTATGTAGATTGCATGTATTGATGTTATTGTGGAAGTGGTGGGGGAAATTTCGTCGTTTTTTCATTCATCGTACTAACGCAAACATCGATATATGCAGACACATATACATACTTGGTCGTCCGTCGGGACTCATACATATATAAACATATGTGGGCAGTTTCGGCTATGACACATGTATGTATACGGGTGGTGTTATGTCTATACATACGCATTTGTATGTTCAAATGTTGAAATTTAAACATTGGAAGTGTGGCGGAAATGTCTCGTTAATGTCTCCTGAATGTATTCCACTTCCACAATAACACCAATACACGCAATGTACATAAGCCCAAATTTTTTAAAACATTAATCAGTTTGTCTGACGATCGCTAAAGCGTGAAACCCAGGGTCACAAACTCACATCTATCCAACCAAATATATATATATATATATATATATATATATATATATATATATATATATATATATATATATGCATCAGGCACGGAGTGATTTTGATATTAATTATATTAACTTTTACTGATTTATTCTTTTGTATTACTTGTTTATAATATTAATTACACTGCACTATTTAATATATATATATATATATATATATATATATATATATATATATATATATATATGCATCAGGCACGTTCCATCAGTAATTACTCAGGGTAGGCTGCTTGTGACCTTTATATAGTAAATCTACAAAAAAATAAAATATTTTTCATATTATAATAATCAGAGCAACCTTCATAACGTTGGATTAGGTGCATATTGTACCACAGAAGGAAAATCTAGCTTATTCAGGATAGACACATCTGTGAAATATATATATATATATATATATATATATATATATATATGAAGAAATATAGTCTTACGATGTGCTATATTTATGGGATAAAGTGCTCAATATCAGAGATAGAGCGTGTGTAAATATTAAAGTGAACTTTGAAGTCAACACTTACAGGCGACAGTCTGTTTCATGCTGGACGCAATCGTCAGGCCGATTGCGTCCAGCATGAAACAGCCTGTCGCCTCTGAGTGTTGACATCAATGTTCCCTTCTATTTTACACACACACACACATATATATATATATATATATATATATATATATATATATATATATATATATATATATATATATGATAAGGATAAGACGGAGACTTTAGTTATCCATTTCGTTTATAATTTTTATTTCGTGAACACCGAGATCTTCTGCTCATCAGAACGAAAACTTCTCCGCAAATGGAGAAAGTACACCAGTTTGCGGAGAAGATTTCATTCTGATGAGTTGAACATTTCGATGTTCACGAAATAAAAATTATAAACGAAATGGATAATTAAAGTCCCCGTCTTCTTATTATCATTATAATGCTCTGTAGTTTACATTGAACTCTCCTGGATTTATATCCTTCTTGAAGTGTATGTATATATATATATATATATATATATATCACTACAAAATTTAAATTAACTCATATACTTGGATAGATCTATTTCGGTCAACGCGAAGTACGTCGGTATTATTCAATCCCGGTAGATGGACTGTCGATATATATATATATATATATATATATATATATATATATATATATTACATTCAACATCATCACGTGACAAGACACCGGAGTTGTTGAAACAAAATGGCTATTTTTGTAGTAATTTTATAACATATTTATGTTATTATTTTTTTAAATAAATATATATATATATATATATATATATATATATATATATATGTGTGTGTGTGTGTGTGTGTGTGTGTGTGTGTGTGTATGAAATGCTTTTCTTGGAGCTCACAAATACAGATACTTCACTGAAACAAATAACGAAGAAGCCTTTCGGATTCTCCGTAGAAATGCTAAATCTTACAAAAATAAACTCATTATTATTTACGGACATTATTCTAGCCAGAATACTAATAATAATAAAGCAATCTCTCTATCTATTCCGACTTCTATTTTGTTAATTGTCCTTATTTAATCCTAATTAAAAATTCTAATTAACTTTTTTAATGAATTTTTTTGTCATTTTAAAAGGACCGTTCTCTGATGTTCTTTTCAAATGACAAAAATGGTTTGAAAACTACGTTTTTGTGTTATTTCGCTACATACATTTGTGTATTTTTTCTTTTCTTCCTGTCATAATAGCCAAGATGGGTTTATCAAAGACAGATAATCATTGCTATATGTTAGTATCATTTAAACTTTTAGCTTTTTGATAGTTGTTACCAGATCTTCAAAAATGGCCGATTGCAATTTTTTTCGATAGCGATGTCATTTTTGTATACGATGCATGGAATCATTCGATAGAAACTTATTTCTAAAACCTGTCTCCATCTTTGTAGATCAACAGTTATGTTCTAATTTTCGCTTTAATATTTCCTCGCAGAGAAAATTCTTTCTTTTCTTCGCTTTTTCCAGTTTTCTGCCTCGCTCTTTCCCTTTGTTTCTGTCTCACTCTCTCCCTTTCTCTCTGTCCCACTCTCTTTCTTCGTCTTACTCTTTCCCTTTCTCTCTCATCTCGTCCGTCATAAGAAAACTTACAAAAATACACTCTTTAACTGTACAGAATTTACACGCCGCATTCTTATATAAATGGCTGCCAAATTGAGCTGCACTTGATAACCTTCTTTTTATCCACTCCCCGTGTCTTTTCATAATGTAGGCGTTCATGACTCTCCACAACTTTCTATCTTTTTTAACTGTAAGAAATGTCTGTTTATTCTACGATCGTTTTACAGATTACTCATTTACTAGCCTATTACTAGTAATTCTTAATTCTGTTACATATAACTTTGAGGGTTTCTTTTAAATATGGTGGGCTAATTTTGGATTAATGGGCAGTGTCTCGGATTGAGGAATCGGAGAGCCGAGTTCGAATTCCAGTCGAATCCATTGCATTTACTTACATGCTAATAGCCACGGGAAAGTTATGAAACAGAACGGGTTTTATAGCAACTGGTCTAGTCGGAGGACAACTCTGAATTCAAAATCCTACTGCACAACTCCCAACCTGGAGGATCAGGTCGGGATTTGTGCAGTAGGCTAAAAACACACTTAATTAAAACCTGGCTTGTTATAGAAACCGCATGCTTATATTTTTATTGGTCATTCCAGCTTATGTAACAGCGTCTCCCCTATCAAGGGGTGTTTCATTGATTTGACCCTTTCAAAACCCGTTATTCTACATTCAACACAATCAATTGATAAGACACCAGAAGTGTCGAAGCAAAATGACTATTCTTGTATATATATATATATATATATATATATATATATATATATATATATATATACAGTGTAACCCGGATATAAGAGACCCAGATATAAGAGAAACCCGGATATAAGAGAGATTTTCTCTGGTCCCAAATTAGAGCCTGTGTTAATGTATATATAATAGACCAAACCCGGATATAAGAGAAACCCGGATATAAGAGACTTCTTCTCCGGTCCCGACAACTCTCTTATATCCGGGTTATATATATATATATATATATATATATATATATATATATATATATATATATATGTAATTATGGTTACGAATGAGACAAATATCAATTCAAAATTTAGTTGCTCTGGGGTCTTTCAATTCTCACCTATTTTCTATTTGTTAGCTGAATCTGTAACCCTGCATCTATAAACACATGCTCTTCACCACCCTCTGGTCGTTTGTCTCTCGTGTGGACAATCCTTCTCTTTCTCTGTCCCCCCTCTAATAAATTGCCCGTTTTTTTGTTTTTACAAACTTTATATTTTCTCTCTTCCCTGGCTTCTTGTAGATATTGGCCTCGTAATTTTTCTATCGACCATTTTGAATGTACAACGACATTCTGTCTTGTCAGTTAGGTTCCTCTTGCATAAAGCAATTTCAGTGTCTCTAATAAACACAAAACAATCCCTCTTTATATCCCTTTAGTCTCTCTCTCTTTCTCTCTCTCTCTCTTTAATATAAATACATTCTCTTTGTTTCTATTGCTCACGCATTCTCTTTTCGTTTACTGTTTATTCATCCTCTATATCTCTATGCTGTACTCTTTCCCGTCCTGGGTAAGACGATAAACTACATCCAACAGCAAGGTCTCTGATCAGGAGGCTTTGAGGAGCGTGGAACCACCTCTTAATTCCTGGTATTCACAGGTCCGCCCTGATCCGGGGTGTTAACACATATTAGGGTCCAAGCTGTGGGCAAATAGTTGACCCCCCAAACTGGTGTCAAAACACTATGAAAGTGTAAAAATAGGTTTTTATACTAGCAATATATTTTTATCAACAATGAAGTTTTGAAGAAAAAAAAAGTATTAGCAATACATTATAGAAAAGATATTACCAGCGATATATTTTTTTAAGAAAAAAAAAAGTATTACCAGCAATACAAGTTTTGAAAAAAAAATGTTACCAACAATACATGTTTTGAAAAAAACAATATTACCAGCAATACATGTTTTGAAAAAACAATATTACCAGCAATACATGTTTTGAAAAAAAAAATATTACCAGCAATACATGTTTTGAAAAAAAAATATTACCAGCAATACATGTTTTGAAAAAAAAAATATTACCATCAATACAAATCTTGTCGACATTAAATAAGCTATTGAGGCTGATATTCCTTAAAACAAACCAAACCAAACTATACACACTGCCTCCCTCCCTCTCTCTATCTCTCCTTCTCTCTCTCTCCCTCTCTCTCTCTCTTAAATACGCTCTTATAATCAATAAATTCTATTTCTCGTTACCACTCTGTTCACTATCTCGTTGACTTTTCACATGTACAAAACTTTCCTCTTCTCTCCCTTATTTCGGGTCTCTTGACCTCAATCGTACAAATACATATTTTCTTTATTTTCTTTCTTTTCTTTCGGACCTCTCTTTCATTCAACCTTTTTGTTCTTTTTTATCCTCCTTTCTTTCAGGCTTTTATTTTATTTGTCTGTTTTTTTTTTGTTTCTTTCTTTGTCTCAAACCATTCTTTCTTTCTTTCTTTCTTTCTTTCTTTCTTTCTTTCTTTCTTTCTTTCTTCCAGATCCTCCTTTCTTTCGCGCCTTTGTCAGTTTGTCTGTTTCTTTCTTTGTTTCAAATCATTCTTTCATGTCTTTCTTTCAAACTTTTCGTTCTCTCTTTCTTTTTGTAATTACTTTCCTTCTTCCTTTCTTTCTTCTTATATCTTCCATTCTTTTTCACACGTATATATATATATATACATATATATATAAAATATATATATATATATATATATATATATATATATATATATATATATATATATATATATATATGTATAACCACTCTGCATTTCTGAGATATATATTGATACATTTCTCTCTTTCACACAGACACCCCTGCAGTCTTTCTGCCACTGTAGATTTTGTCACTTTCCTTCTCTTCTCTTTCCTCCTCCTCTTTCTCTTTCCTTCTTTTCTTTTCTTTCCTCCTCCTCTTTTCGTTCCTTCTTCTCTTCTCTTTCCTCCTTCTCTCTTTCTCTTTCCAACTTCTTTTTTCTTTCCTCCTTCTCTTCTCTTTCCTCCTCCACATTTCTTTCCTCCTTCACTTTCTCTTTCCTCCTTCTCTCTCTCTTTCCTCCTTCTCTTTCTTTCCTTCTTCTCTTCTCTTTACTCCTCCACTTTTTCTTTCCTCCTCCTCTTTTTTCCTCCTCCACTTTTTCTTTCCTCCTCCTCTTTTTTCCTCCTCCTCTTTTCTTTCCTTCTTCTCTTCTCTTTCCTCCTCCACTTTTTCTTTCCTCCTCCTCTTTTTTCCTCCTCCACTTTTTCTTTCCTCCTCCTCTTTTTTTCTCCTCCTCTTTTCTTTCCTTCTTCTCTTCTCTTTCCTCCTCCACTTTTTCTTTCCTCCTCCTCTTTTTCCTCCTCCTCTTTTTTCCTCCTCCTCTTTTCTTTCCTTCTTCTCTTCTCTTTCCTCCTCCACTTTTTCTTTCCTCCTTCTCTTTTCTTTCCTCCTCCTTCTCTTTTCTTTCCTCCTCCTCCTCCTCTTTTCTTTCCTTCTTCTCTTCTCTTTCCCCCTTTCACTTTCTCTTTCACTCCCTCGCAAGCTTCCACACTACGCGCTTCCAAGGGAGTATCATTTTACCGCCTGTACTAGTGCATGCATATTTTTAAAGTATACTTTCTTTGATTGAATGATTGGCGCAACGCAATCTTCTCAACCTTCTCCAATTTAACTTTCTACTAGAGCAAACTTAACTGAGTAAATTTCTAATTTTGGGTGAATATTTAATATGTTCTGAGGAAGTCGTAAATTTTAATTACATTCGCCCATAAATAGTACCCGGATGATGGGTCAGACAAGGGCGGTAACTCTCATAAATTTCAATCCCGGTTGATCTATTATTAATAAAAGAGAGTAGTCTGCAGGGTGATGAACAAAATGTAAGCAAATCATAAATCATGACTACGACAACGCTTAACGGAATTTACAGAAACATATTAAAATAGTCGATGATTAAAAAAAAAGGAAAAACATGTAGATAATAATAAAAATAATAAATCATTAAGCCAGTTTTATATTTTACTAGTACACTGATGTACTAAACTATAAAATGCCAACGTAATCTTCCTTTATGGCCTGGATCCTATTCAGTGGCAGTAAACAAACTTCGATATAGTTATTAACTAGCAGTATAACCCGACTTCGACCGGCTGTTCCATTACTGGGAATCTGTGCCGTTCAATTGGAGCAGTTTAAGTTTAAAGTCAGCCCACCCGAAAATCAATATTTTTAACAACAATTGGCTGCAGCTGAGGCACATCCCCAAATGGGGGGGTTAACAATTTGTATTGGGTGGGGGTTGTCCCTGAAAAGGTCCGTTTTTGGCGTTTTCAATCTTGCAAGGAACCTTTTTATGGACCGTCATAATAATAATAAATGATCATTTTTATTTATATTTTTTTTATAAATCTAATAAACTTTTGCGTTAGATTTCAACTCCCTAAATTGACTGTATGCTGTTTTTTACTGACATTAAATTTTTCCTTTGATTTTTGCGCGAAGTGTAGAAAATCATTTTTTTTTTTTTTTTACTTTCAAGTTTGTAATTTTTTCCAGCCAATTTGGACTTAAAACCGGCACTGAAGTATTATCTATCAAAAAAAAAAAAAAAAAAAAAAAAAAACTTCATCGAAATCGGATGAAAACTCTGGAAACGCATAAACAACCTTTGAGCCAAAGACAAACGCACACACACACACACACACATTTTGAGAATTATATATATATATATATATATATATATAGATGTTTGTTTTTTTATCATAATTTTGCACTTTTTTATTGCAACTCGTAGATCATTTTGACATTCTCTGATCGTTAATTAAGCAGAATCTATTTACTTATTAGAAGTAAAGACGGTGTGGTCGACGAGATTCAAACATGAAAGACGTATCCCTGGTCTCGCCTGTTAATACAGAACCGTGTTTAATCCTTAGAAAACCGACCAGCAAACTTCATTCAATCATCTGCCTTTTTCCTATTTTCTCGACACTATACTGTTTATATTTCCGTAAGGACACACGTTTAGCATCTGCAAGGAAGAGCAGTATTATTGCACACGGTTACATTAAGGTCTTCCTTTCTCATCACATACTTCAGAAATGTATATACGAAGGTCGGCTGAAAAGTTCATAAGCTGACCAAGATACTCTGGTAGAAAGTGACCAAATGCGGGTTTTTTCAGCTCAGTCTCCCTTGCGGTCCACATAGGTATTCCATCGGTGTTGCAGTGTTTGTATCGCATTGATGAACACATGGCCCAGTTGATTAAAGTGTTGTTGATCCAAAAAGAGATGTGAGTTCAATACCTGGCCATAGTAGAGAGACCAAAAACTCGGAGAATTGCGTTACTGAAGGGAATTGAACAGAGACTGCAACTAACTGAAACAGTGATATTAAAAAGGTCCTGGTTCGTGGAATTAGAACAATTTACCACCGTGGACTGAATGATGAGTTCAGTTCGGAATTTCAAGAAGACGGTCGGGGCTTACAACGGACGAAACGTTGGGAATATGGCAATGAAGATGAGGCAATAGTTTGAACAATGTAAATAACTATATTATTTCTTTATACATAAATGACGAAACAGTCTTCAACATCTCAGATGAATCATTATTAATGAAAAATAAATAATTGCAATGTTTTATCTGATCAATTCAGACAATTGACTTGACTTGACTTGTACCGCTTTTTACCCTGGTCGGGTTGAACCGGCTTCCTCCCGAGCAAATACAGCCTCACGAACCATCGCTGCCCACGCTCACCGATCCTGAGCCAGGTCACACGAAATGGCGAGCCAATTGCGATTCCATCGTCGAAGACCAACTACTTATGGACCCTAAAGTACTGCTAGGTCATCCTTGATTGTGCTAGTCTACGTCCTCAGCTGCCCACCGACACGTTTTTCGCCAGTCAGGAAGAGAAAGAGGGAGAAGTACATCGCGGATGAGCTCTCCCTCCGGGCGTCGAGCTGCGTGCCCGAACCAATTATTAGACTATGACGACTATTACTTGTAAAGTGCCAGATATCTTCTTGATGTGCTGTGTCCCCGAAGTATGTAGGCGATCCTGGCTTTTCATAACTTCTTTTCATTTGTAGCTCATAATAAATTTTCTCTTTTTGGGATATCCCTAAACCCTGTTCCACTATACACTTAGTCAAGCTCACTATGTTATGCGTTGTTTTTCTCTATCCCACTTGCCTTCAATTTATCGTGTGAGTATCAGATTTTCCAAGCCTTTTTTCCTCATTACGGTCCCTAGGAAGTTCAACTGTCTCTTCATGATTATAAGTTTTTTATCTCATCTTCTATAAAAAATTGTCGTTGTTCATATAATACTCAAAGTTTATAGGGTGACTAAGATACTCTCATGGAATGTGACTAAATGAGCTTTATTTTTCAACATAGTCCCCCTTGTGGTCCACACACTTCTTTCCTGGATGTGGCAGGGCTTGGATCCCATTGGGGAACAAGCTTTCATCCAAAACGGTAATCAAGAGTAGATATGACGTCATCATCACCTCGATATTCATTCCTAGTCAAAATCAGAACCAAAATCAGTTTCTTATCTTGGACTGTCTGTTGTTCCTTCTTCATAATCTTCAATTTAAAAAGTTGGGATGTCTATCATGATCTCAGAAATCTCAACTCTCCAAAATTATGCAATGTAACTTAGCTCAGTGTCACACATCTTTTTTCCCCCATATGTCATCAAGGCAACTATCTTAGCTTGGAAGATATGATGTATGAGGATTGGCAGAAAAGTTTATAGTCTGACCAAGATACTCTCATGGATTGTGACTGAATGAGGTTTATTTTTCAACAGAGTCTCCTTTGTGGTTCACACACTTCTTCCCTGGATGTGGCAGGGTTTGGATCCCATTGTTGAAGAAGCTTTCATCCTGTTAGTCAAAAAAATCATCAACGGCAGATATGTTATCATTATTGCTGCAATACTGGTTCTCACCTAAGTGTTTTTCCTGTTGAGAAATGGATGATAGTTAGATGGGGCCAAATCAGGAGAATAGAGAGGGTGATCAAGCAGTTCAAAGTCACAGTCACGCACAGCAGCCATTGAAACCAATGACGTGTGCTGGAACAGTGTCCTAATGAAACAGGACCCACTTTTTATCAGTTTTCTTGGGCATTTGGTCTTGATAGTCTTTTGTCATTGCCTCAGCAGGTTGGCATAGTTTATAAAGAGTAGATGTAATATATAAGAGAATCGTCTGAAAAGTTCATAGGCTGACCAAGATACTCTCATGGAATGTGACCAAATGCGGTTTGTTTTTCAACATAGTCCCACTTGTGGTCCACACACTTCTTCTTTGAATGTTACAGGGCCTGGATCCCATTGAGGGACAAGCTTTCATTCTGTTAGTCAAAACGGTAATAAAGAGCAGATATGACGTCATCATCACTTCGCTACTCGTTCCCAGCCAAGTATTTTTTTTTTATGTAGGTAAACAGATAGGGGCAAATCATTGGACTAGAGAGGTCGATCAAGCAGTTCAAAGCCATATTCACGCACAGCAGCCATTGAAACCAAAGACTTTTATGCTGGACTCTTGTCCTGATAAAACAAAACAACCTTCGTCAGTTTTCCTGGGCATTTGGTCTTCATAACATTTTTAACTGGTTCAGAAAGTTTGTATAGTACTCTCCATTGATGGTGTGGTCCTTTTGAAAATAGTCAATAAACACAATGTTTTTGCATCCCAAAAAAATTGAAGCCATCATCTTTCTGTATAGGAAACGACCTTGGTCTTCTTTGGAGCAAGTAAGGAGAGATGTTTCCACTACATAGGTTATCTCTTTGTCTCTGGCTCAAAGTTATAAACTCAACACGCATCCTGGGTTAGGAAACGTTCAAGGATGCTGGATCTGCTTCAAACAATATCAGATTTTTCCGTGATGTGATCAGCCTGGTGCGCTTTTGAACAGGTGTCAGAAGACGTGACACCCGCCGAGTAGAATCCTTCGTCATGACAAGTTCATTAAGCAGAATATTTTCGACTCACTTACGAGATATGCTAATAGAATTGACTATTTGATTTCTAATCAATCGCCTCTTATCAAAATTCCATGTGGTGAACGCCATCAATATTTTTCTCGGTGGTGGCAATTGCAGGACATCCAAACCTTGGATTATCTTCACCCCCCCACTTCCCCTCATAAATTCAACTGCCCATTTTTGCGCTCTTGATGATAAAACTGGAGCGTCATCTCCCAATATAGCAACCGTGCCAGCATAAATGTTTTTGGGGGCTAAACCATTTTTCTGCAGGTACATGACAACACCACGATGCCAATAGTCCATTTTTCTTTTTAGAAAATGTCGACTAGTTACTTTTAAAGTCTTCCTTGAAGAGTTAAATATCAGTTTACATGGACAAAAACACTCCGGTTATTTATAAAAAGATTTGAAATAAATGTATGCAAGATTTTCATAGCTCTATCTTCATTCCTTCATACTTAGTCTATGAATTTTTTTTTGACACTTCGACATGGTTTAATGATTAGCAAGCATATCATCTTAGATCTATTACAACCGAATAGTGAGTTCGATCCTCACTGGGTGTCTCATGCTCTCGGCTTTGTGACACATCTAAGCTACGCTTAGAAAAAGGGCACTTCGAGGCGGTGTAATGGTTAAAAAGCGTGTTTCGCTAGATCCGTTACGACTTAGTAAAGTGAATTCGATCATCACCGGGTGCTCCACACTTTCGGTCTTGTGCCACATCTAAGATACGCTTAGAAAATGATAGGGCACTTCGAGGCGGTTCAATGGTTAGCAGGCTTGTCTCCATCGAACAATTACGACTGAGTAGTGAGTTCGATCCTCACTATGTGTCACCTACTTTTCGCGTCTAAGCTACGCTTGGAAATCACTAGTCTATGGACTTTTCAGTCCACTGTCATGAGAAATATGTCTGTAGCAGAAGTTTATTTTTCCTTGGCATCTAGAGAAATCATTTCAATTGAACTCTATCAAGTTCATACCTTATATCTGGCGATATCCCTATTGAAAGGTTTTGTTGGAAACTCATATGGAATCAATGAGCGACCATTGAACTTTAAATTCTGACTGTTTGTCACAATGCGATTCTGTTGTTTATAAAAATATTAAAAACGTTTCGTCTACTCTTAATGCATAAACAAATACGTGTGAAAAATCATTTTTAATTGTAGCAGTATATTTATTTACTTTGTGTCATACAGGCGTTTATGTTCCTTCTGAACTGAGGTGTTTGAATTGTCTTAGTCTTTGCCTTGACTTATTCTCTCTTAAATATAAACGGCGTCCACAAAAAAACATTAGACAAATAGAACAAAATTATTAAAATTACAGCGGAAACTGGATCCTGTTGAAATCTTTACATAATATTAAGCAAATAGTTTATAAGTTTATCTATAAATAGTTAATACATTTCTATATATGCTCTATTCGTTGCACGAAGGGCAGCTAAGCGATATTCAGTTTCTGTATATATTTCAAACATAAAAACGACATTAATTGCGATCTGAAACATAAAAACATACCATTAATAAAACTATTAATATAATTTTAAAAAGAAACTTTAATGATAACATATTAGACGCCACATCTTAGTTTTTCGTAATTACTCTTGGAAATTGTCTAATGATTTTGTGCACACTTTGTACCACCAGTTGGGATGAACGGTTTCGTTCAGCTGCTTGGTTTGATTTGATTTGGTTTGTTTTACAGCACATAAACCGTTCATTGCTGTCAAACCCTCTGCTTCGGCGGAGAGGAACCCGGACGAGGTTTTGCCAAAGAGCAAAGTTTCGTCCGGGGAGCTAGACAGGCCCTGAACCCGTTTATACAGGTTCAAAAGGAAAATTTTGGCTGAGCGTTTGGGCTCGGAGAACCCACGATAAACTCGGCCTTGTGCCACATACGACCCAGGTTGGGGGGGGGGCGCTAAATATAACAGCATATCAATGTCAATGGGTTATTTCATGCCGACAAGAGTTTTAATTGCTGGTAATATTAATTGTTTTCAAAAATATATTCCTGGTAATATTTTTTTCTTCAAAAATGCATTGCTGGTAAGATTTTTTTACGAAATTCAATGCTGGAAATTTTTTTTCCAAATATGTATTGCTGGTAAGAACTCTTTCTTCTAAAATTTATTGCTGGTATTAAAACCTATTTTTACATTTTCATAGTTGAGACACTAACAGCTGCTACCACTCCGGGTGAGGGTGGACCTCAGAAAACCAGCAATTGAGGTGGTTCCAAGCTCCTCAAAACCTCTTGATCAGAGGCTTTGCTGTTTATCGTCTTACCCAGGAGGCGGATATAGTTTATCGTTATACTCAGGACGGCAACTGTTTGTTAAAAAGCAAGCAAACTTGAGAAGAATAAATGTTTCTATCGGATGTCAGCCATTGAATATACTGTAGAAAGTGTGATATATTCATTTTATGTATAGCTGTTGGAGAATGAAAATAAAGTAATAAAATAACAAATAAAATAATAATAGAAAAAAAAAGAATTTAGTTTTCCCATAATGCAAAAGGAAACCAAAAATGGTTTCCGGTCACGTGTGAAATTTATGACTCCACTTCTGGAATGAACCTGATCGCTCTCTTCTCATTTCCCAACTATTGAATTCGGACGTGTATAGTAGCTATCCCAATAAAATGGAGATTAAGTCACCTTCACTCAACGTCAGCTATTCTATATATCTTTGTAGTGTAGTTCACTGACAATCAAATTCTTTTAGCGGCACGAAGTCAATATTACCCTCTACATCGCCATTTCGGGTGTGCTGTATCAATTAGAGTAAATGAATTTTGTTTAAGAATTGCTAGTTGTAATAATAACAATAATAACGTTAATGATGATACTTATGACAATGATGATGTTGATTGTTCTTTTATTTTATTTACAGGGCATAATGGCGGCTTAAACTAGGAATAGCAGAACGATTCTTTTCATTTCTTTTTTTTTCTTTTCATTTTTTTTTTTTTTTTTTTTGGCTTAAAGGAGAATTTCCATCAAAGGTAAGGAAACATATTTTTACAGTTCAACTTTCTTTGGCGATAATTTTTTTTTTCTGTCTTTCTTTTTCAGGGCGTTTTAACTTCATTCTTTGATTTATTCTTTCTCTGCTAATTTTCTCCTTCTTTTAATCTTCGTTTATTTTTCGTTGTTTGTTCTTTTAGTATCTCCTTCATTCTCTTTCATTTTTATCTTCTTTTTCATGTTCTTTCCGTCTAATTCAGTCATTCTTTCTTTTTATTTTCTTCCTTGTTTCGTCTTCATTCTCTTTCATTTCTTTCCTTTTTTTTTTCATTTGTCGCTTTTTTTATATTTATTTCTTTGTCATTTTCTCTTTCTTTCTTTTTCCTTTTCTTTCATTATGATTTATTCTATCTCTATCACTACTTTCTTTCTTTTGTTTATTATTTCCTACGTTTTTTTTCTTTCTCTTCTTAATTCTCTGTTGCTTATTTTCCCTCCCTCTCTGTTTGTCTTTTCTTTTCCCTCTCTTTCTGTGCTATTTCTTTCGTTTTCCTTACTGTTTTTTTTTCATTCGTTCTTTCTCTTATTTTCTCGCTATTATCTTATTTTATTGCGCGTCTTCTTTTTAAAAAAAAAAAATCTCTTTGATGGCCAGTCGAAGTGACATATCCTTACTCTTGGCTCCAGAGATATCCTTTTTTACCCCACTTTACTTTGTACATTTAATATATTCAGACCTAAAAAAAATTAAGCCTCCAAAAAGATTTTCTATGCTTTCGGATTTATATGCATTTTCTGAATGCATGGGAAAATATCTGATGCATTTCGATTAGAGAAGTAGCTTTTTTTTTCATTTGCTAAAGCATGGATTCCGTGTTGGAATTTTTAATCATCTGCTTCTTCTTTTTCAATAGTCAGTTAGTTTTGCATTTCTAAATCCCCCCCCCAATTGTTTGTACATGAATTATAGTTCAGACAAATTTACTCTTCATTTTCTGGTGTGTTTCGAAAAGGCAACTATTTTTCACATTTCATATGCGAATTCTGATTAATAAAGACAATCTTCTAAAACATGTGATTGTTAGTTTATATGTGGAGTTTCAGGGAAGAATGAGTTTCAGCAGCGACACGAAAATATAAGAGGATAGATAAATGACTCTGGTAGGCCTACCGATTTATTATATAACAGTGCATAATCTGCAATTTTAAAACAACGGAAATGTATTTGATGGTATATATGTACCCAAAACATTCCTCCAACAATAAATAAAACTGTATCTCTCAAGTCCTTATTCGAATCTGAAATCTTATATTTACCCAGACGCCATCAACTACCCTACCAGTTTTTGCTACTCTCTATAACACTTGAATATTTAATGGAAATAGGGGTTGATATTTTTGTATACAATGTTATACTTGACTTATTTGATATCATCTCGGCTTTTTCTGGTCGATTCCGATTACGCAATTTTTGTACAACTTTTCTTTTTTAATACTTACTCCTTATTCCTTGCTACTTTCTCCTTAGTCCTTATTCCTTAACCCTTACTCCTTACCTGTTACTCCTTACTGTTTAGTCCTTAATTCTTATTCCTTGCTCCTTACTCTTTAGTCCTTACTCCTTAATTCTTACTCCTTAGTCCTTACTCCCTACTCTATTCCTTACTCCTTAATCTTTAGTCCTTGCCTCTTAGTGATTACTCTTTAGTACTTACCTCTTAGTCCTTAGTCCTTACTCTTTAGTCCTTACTTCTTAATTATTACTCCTTAGTCATTACTCCTTGCTCCTTAATTCTTACTCTTTAGGCCTTACTTCTTAATTCCTACTCTTTAGTACTTATTCTTTAGTCCTTACTCTTTACTCCTTAGTTTTTACTCCTTTCTCTTTAGTTTTTACTCCTTAATTCATACTCCTTAGTCTTTACTCCTGACTCGTTACTCCTTAGTCCTTAATTCTTAATCCTTACTCTTTACTCTTTAGTCCTTAGACCTTAGTGCTTCACCCTTAGTCCTTCTTCCTTAATCCTTAATCATGGATTATTGAAAGAAGAAGCGAAAAACAACGAAAGGCGATATAAAGAGAGATGTCGGAGGAGGAAGAATAAAGTCACAAAGAAAGAAAGGATAAAAGATTGAAATGAATCGAAACAGACAAGCACAGAAAGGAAGAAGGATGAGAAAATATTGAAAAGGGACAAGAAGGGGAAACAAATCGAAAAAAAAAGAGAAGAAAAAATGAAACAAATCGAAAAAAAGAGTGGAAAAGCACAGAAGATAAGTAAAAAAAAAAGTATGAAAAATGTTCATGTCAAACAAAAGATAGGGAGAAGGATATTAAAAAAAGGAATATTTGATTGACATTCCTGTAAGAAGGAAGAAAATTCGTTCGGAATTTAAAAAAAAAATCACAAAACTTTGCAACAAGTCCTTAAAGGTGAAAAGCAAAATATATCAAATGAGATGAAGAGGAGAATAGAATTAAACTCTGTATTTCAAAACACATTCTGGTAAAGTATTAAAAGCTAAAAAAAAAAAAACAAAGGAAACCAGCGATTTGCTTTGAGATAAAATTTACTTTTGTTAATTTAAAGACAAACCTGTTGTAAGCATTTTTGAAAACAACAAGATCTATTTTACAAATTAGTATATATATCAGAAAGATCTCAGAAATATTGCAAAAAAAAAAGAGAAAAATAAGATGAACATAAAACAAATATAGATTTTTACTCAAAAAAAGATGAAACGGGGAAAAAAATGGATGGGCGGAATATAAGATAAAAAGAAATGAAAGGAAAGCGTCAAATTGAGGCAAGATTCAATAGACAGATTTATTTTTAAATTTTTACCGTTCATCAGAAAAGAGTACAGCGGCATTCATAGGTTCCGTATTACAGTGAAATAGATAGGAAAAAAAAAAGATAGATTGAAAGAGACAGAGAGGGGGGGGAGAGAGAGAAATAGAATGAAACGAGGTTGAATATTTCAAAAATAGATTTTTCAAAAGAAGGATCCAAGAAAAAAAGGGCGTATAAAAAGAGAGAAAAAGTGAAACTTGATAAAACGTTTATAAGGTGGATATTAATACATTCAATGAACAGATATACACGAGAGGGTGCTGAAAATCTCTCAGCACGATGCGCTTCCAAAATATGATTATATGGCCAAATATCAGGATTTATTTAAGAACTAAGAATACAAGAATAGACTAAAAATGGATTCAAATCAATTCTGATATTTTATCATTTGATTAGATTTTGATCAGGTTGTGAACAGCAAAATCTACTTTTTAAAAAGTATATATAAGATGAGTATTTTATGTCGTTTTTTGCTTGATTTTTTACTATTTATTTATCCAGATTCAGGGGCTATACTCATAGTGATGAAAAGATTGACACATAGAGAGAGACAAGGAGAATGATAAACACAACTAGTACGAGAGAGAGACAGAAAAAGACAGAAAGACATGGTAAATACTGTATGTTGGTCTGCTGTGCTGGTGAAACTCTCTGCCTCCGGGCAGAATGGATCCTCAGACGAGCCTATGACGAAGGGCGGAATCTCATCTCGGAAACCTTACATACCGTTTTATACACACAAAGGATAACCTTTCGTTTGAATTTACTTTGTTGACCAACTTATCTACTCTAGTTTATATATATATATATATATATATATATATATATATATATATATATATATATATATATATATATATATAGAGAGAGAGAGAGAGGTAAGAGAAAAAACGAATAAAGTATAATTCCCACGTTCGTAACATTTAATTTAAAAAAGAGCTCAATACAAAGTAGAGCAATATTATTTATTTTAGGATATTACATCGAAAACATGTCATAAACGCTACACAATTGCCGTCATCGTTCGATGCCTGCCAGTGCATCTCATCAGGCGATTGTAAATTACAACTGGTTAATTTACAATCGCCTGATGAGATACATTGATACGCATCGAAACACGACTACCATTGTGTAGCGATTTTGACATATTTTGAATGTAATAAAAAAAATAAATTATATATATATATATATATATATATATATATATATATATATATATATATATATATATATATAGTTGTCTTCGATGAGAACATTTCAAATCCAATTTGCAGAAGGCTTCTATTTTATATACGAATAAAACTTATATTTGTTTTAAACTTTTCTTAGTTTAATTTAATCTGCCACAAGGCCAGAAGTATAAAGATCCCCAAGAGAGGGTCGTTTTTCCACTACAAACTTAGTAGCCTACTTATCTTTTGGCGATAACCCATCTTGATAGATATATATATATATATATATATATATATATATATATATATATATATATATATATATACACACACACTTAATCGCTACTCATTCATATTTTCGCTTGCTGCCTAATAGAACGTTTTATATTCTGTCTCTAATGGTCAAATGATGAACAGCCGAGGTAATATTTATGTAGGGTGAAATATTCTCTTCGTAAAAGCCTTCATTTTTGTGAACCGCGTTTACGTGGGTCACAAATGGACAGTGAATGTGGCGTTTGTGTGTCAATTAATAGAGACACCGGAATTGAGTTTTAGAAGCAGAATACAAATGACATTTTCTTCGCCAAGAGACAAACAGAGAGAGAAAGAGAGACAGAGTAGTGTTTCTGTGTGTGTACGTGTGAGTGAATGGATTTGTGGATGTGTGAAAAGTTAGATTGGGGAAGGGGAGTCCAAATAGCGTTAGAAAATGTCACTTTTGTTAATGGAGAAATTCGACGGGAGGATATCAGGAGAGGGGAAACAGATTGAAAATTTGTTTATGTAGATAAGTAATGATGACGACGTGCATTCGAAAGCGGTATACGGCAAATTGTTGATAAAAACGAATCGTCTTCATAGACATTAGCATATACATTCGCAGGTTATAAGTACTTGCAACAAACTGAATATATTACTGTAGACGCGAGTAAACGTGCAAGCGATGTAGCTAGGTTACAATATATGAACAGGTCAACATTAGTTCTAAAATAAGGATTATTTCTGTAGTGCTATGACCGAGCTGTGAACTATGAGTTCAGTCAGCTATGCGCCGTACGCTTAGGCGATCATGTATCTTTCGATACATGACTGACGAGGCAGATTTTTCCCGAAGCACGTTGCTATTTCTTTCTGCGGTAGATCAGTTGCAATCCAAGGCTACAGAACTCGTTCTGTCCTGCTATTTCCCCATAGCTGGATGGGGGGGAAGAAAACGATTAATAACGCCCCCAAAGGTATTTGTACGTATGTAAATGTAATGGGTTTGACTGGAATTTGAATGGAGTTATGTGCCATGCGTGATACACGCTTAGGCGATCATTTATCTTTCGATACATGACTGACGAGGCAGATTTTTTTTCTCGCAGTAGGTTGCCATTTCTTTCTGTGGTAGACCAGTTACCATCCAAGGATATAGAACCCGGTGTGTCCTGATATTTACCCATAGCTGGGTGGGGAGAGAAGAAGAAGATTTATATCCTTTCTCAAGGGTATTAGCACATAAATGAATGTCATGGATTCGAACTCGGCTCTCCGATTCCTCAGTCGGAGCAGCTATCCATTACTCCTCCGTGCCTCACTATGACGTAGTGATGCAAAAATCAAGCAAGTAAAACATTTTAAATATCTGGAAAGTTTTTTAACAGAAGACGGAAAAGGCAAAAAACGAAACGAAATGTGTTTTTCAAAAGCTAAGTAAAAATAAACAAGAAAACTTCGTTAAAGACAAAGAAAAGTGTACTGAACTATTATGTAATACTGGTCCTTAAATGAATGTTGGGCACATAGTTGAGTAGAACTGTGGTTCTACAGAAGGATGCTGATAATACTATGGACTGAACATGCGAGTAATGAGGAAGTTTTAAGGGAAATAGAAACATAAAATACACTTAGACTTAGAATCAGTAGGAAAAACATGAAATTAATAGCGTAAATAATGAGAAAAGAGGACTTGGAGAATTTAACACGGACAGGGCACATTGAAGTCAAGATGGTCATAAGAAACCAAGCAAATAACCTACCTAACTAGCTTGTGTAATTGGTTAGCAGAATCGGGTTTAGGAGAGACAGCAAAAGGTGAAACTTTACTAAGAGACACAAAGAGGAAGAGACCATGGAAGCCATGATAGCCCACCTCCTGTAGGGAAACCGCATTTCGAAAAAGAACAAAACACCATATATATTACAGTGTGTATGTTGTTTGTCCGTTACAACTAGATTTGCCTAATTACATACAGATAGAAACCGGATTGTGTATTATTCACGTCTTTTGCACCTGTTGAGGTAACATACCAACGGTTGGCAGGCTAAATGAACGAGTTAGCCGCCGTTGCACTATATCCCGTATGCGTGTACAATTATATCTACGTATAAAATATTTATTTGCATACACACGCACATAAACATAGATAGATAGATAGATAGATAGATAGATAAGAATAGGCTTAGATAGATAGATAGATAGATAAAGAATAGGCATAGATAGATAGATAGATAGATAGATAGATAAAGAATAGTCATAGATATATATATAGATAGATAGATAGATAGATAAGAATAGGCTTAGATAGATAGATAGATAGATAGATAGATATGATATAACTTGGAGGAAAATATATAATGCAGGAAAAGGTTTCTGTGCGACGCGTTTCGTTCTTTAGGACTTCATCGGATTAAATTTGTTATGTAGGTATGAACAGACTTAGATAGATAGATAGATAGATAGAAAAGAATAGGCTTAGATAGATAGATAGATAGATAGATAGATAGATAGATAGAGATAACTATATATAAATATTATGTATCAAGAACAACATTGGAGGAAAATGTATAAAAATGTGGGAAAAGGTTTCTGTGTGACACGTTTCGTTCTTTAGGACTTTATCGGATTAAATTTGTTATGTTGGTGCGACTGCGCATGCGCACGGACACGGGATGCTGGGAATTTTAAATTTTAGATTTTTTTTGTATATAATAATAATAATAGATATGAAAAGACTTAGATAGATAGATAGATAGATAGATAAGAATAGGCTTAGATAGATAGATAGATAGATAGATAGATAGATAGATAGGTATAGGCTGAGAAAGATTGATAGATAGGAATAGGCTGATATAGATAAATAGATAGATAGATAGGAATAGGGTGAGATAGATAAATTAATGGATTTAAAACCAAGTGAAAATCTGTAGTTCAACTTCTTCATTTCTTTCTCGAGTTTAAAGACTGAACATAACTACATCTTCCTTCCTCAGTTTTCGGCGTTTCTTATTCAGTCTGAATAATTCCGAATTTCCTTTGAATGTACTTATATTAATTTAACACTAATAGCCTCAGGAAAGACAGGAATACATTTCTCTCTGTACTCTGTCCCCTTGAAAGACAACTTAATAAAATATCTAGTCATGAGCATGTCTTTGTTGCTTGGTTGGGGATGAGAATGAGAAAACTTTCTCCCATAAAAACTGCCCAATCATTAATAGCTGTAAAAATGATTACCCCACCTCACTAGTTTTAATCTTGCTTGAACTATTATCGTTCTCGTCACAGCAATGATCAAGAACCTCTGACAGTGTTCTTTTTTTACCTGAGGGAATATTCATGAGCACTCATATGGTACTTGAACCTTAATCGTAGTTTTCCTTTTTACATACTGTATATCATAGTTTTGAGCTTTGATCTTGAAGAACAGATATTTTTGGCTTGGCAACCCCCAGAGCGGAAACACAATTTCAGTATTTCTTCACTTAGTTTTACTGTCATATAATAATCAATAACATTTTTTATGTTTCTTTGTTGAATGATGAAAAACCAAAGGTACAACTTAATGTAAATGTATCACGGGCAAATCGTAACATCATATCAGCAATGCGAAAAATAAGAAGCAATACTGATATTGCTTCAGTTTGCAATTTCATTGAAGTACAGACATTTACGTGTATAAGTCAATCTGTGATTATTGCACTAGCTCTCATAAATTCAATGTTTGCAAAGGTTGAATATATTGTCATACTAACTCAACAGCAAATTACACCAGTAACACACCTTAATTTACATAATATTAAATATATTACAGTGAATTAACTTTGAAATTTCGTCTTTCTGAGCCGGAAACGCAGTGTGAATATGAAACTACCGCCATTTATAATTTGGCCTTTGACAAAACATTACAGATTTAACAAACTGACGGGTAAAAATTGTCCTCATTTGTGCCTTGGACGCTATTACAATACGTTAATCTTGGTGAGCATATATATTCTAAATTTATCAATACAGCATGTAATTATATGCATAGGAGATATGGTGGATTAATAGATAGCGGCTCGGATTGCGGAATACATTCACTTACGTGCTAATACCCTTGGGAAAGACATGAATCCTCTTCTTCTCCTTTATGGGTAAATAGCAGGATAGACCGGGTTCTATAGGCTTCGATGGCAACTGGTCTACCGCAAAAAGTAATGGCAACATACTGCGGGATAAAATTTACCTCGTCATTTATCATTGTGATATTTTTGCATTATATTAAGAATATAGTAACTAGGGTTTGCAAATTGGAAGAGAGAGTTATCAATGATAATTTTTCTGACTTGGAATCCGAAGTAATCTCACTTTAACCCTCACTCTGTGTTTTATTTTTAGATGCACGTCGTATCACATAGAATTTGGTGAGGCGCGGAATATTTTCATTCCAAAAATGCGGCCTATAGAAAAAAAAATAGGGAAAGACTGGATTAGACAGACCGTTAATATAGACCAGAAAAATGGTAGAACTGATGGTATAACCTCAGACAACTCTTACATGGATCGCATTTTGAGAACTGGCCATTAACAACGTTCTTCACGAGCCTATCTAATAGGAAGAACTTGATAATTGCAAAGACTCTTGAAGAGGTACCATACCTAGGGAGGTCAAAGTTGCAACCCATGTGCCACACTTTTGCAAAGTGCATATGATGAAAAAGATAGATTAAAACAGTGACATAAATTGCAATCTATAAAAGGAGAAAAACTACAAATTATAAAATTTGAAAATGTGAATAAACAAAAAGAACCACATTATTTCAAATGAAAACTTGCAAAGAATAGAAAATCACGACAGTGGTACTGATGAACAGTCATCCATTTTGAAAAATCTATAAACACTGCTATATGCGAAAAGATTATATATATATATATATATATATATATATATATATATATATATATAAAATCAAGAATGTTCATGTTCATTTAGGTTATAATTTACACAGTTATTACTTTTAGTTTTCTAATTTTACCTTTATTATTTATCTGTATAAAAAATCCCTTCATTTATGTTTCATATTATTACCATTATCGTAATTTGTATTTATTTGTCTTAAGGAATCCTTTTATTAGACGAACTAATTTGGAATTGGGTTGATTTATTCTGCCTGAAATAACGGATCATATCGGTCAATTTGCTGTATAACCCGATATACAAAATTCCACACTTTAAGGAAAAAATTCTTGGCCGGTCAGTCATTTTAGGCTTACTACTACCCATACATTACATCCTTCTCCCCTTTCCTTTCCATCTCTCTATCTTACTGTTTATAAGAACCTAACTATCCGTCACTTTCCTTCTTTCCCTCCTCCTTCTATTCTCTCTAGCTTTCCTTTTCCCCTGTCAATCGAATATACATGTTAGGGATATTGTCTCTATTTACTAAAAGTTTTCGGTCTGAAGAGTTGAAGATATGAATATTCACGAAATAAATTATAAGCAAAATGAATATTTAAGGTTTTCTTCTTCTACTTTATTATTATTATTATTATTATTATTATCTGTAGTCTACATTGAGCTATCCCTGGATTAATATCCTCTTTGGAATTATCCCTACCACTAACAAATTGGTAATATATATATATATATATATATATATATATATATATATATATATATATACAAGTATAGGATTGGTATATACGGAATAAATTTCAATAAATCCAAAATACTATTCTCAAAAGAGTGCTAAATACAGAGTAGAGCAAATATAATTATCTATTCGAAAATTATAACATAAATATATTATAAAATCAATTATTTTTTAATAAATAATTATATATGTGTGTGTGTGTGTGTGTGTGTAGGTGCGTGTGTGTGTACAATTCATTTGTTCTATTTTTTAAATATCTATAAACATGTGCTTTGTACATGTATATGCGTAGGTTTCAGTGAGTTTGCTTTTGTTTCTTCATATGTAAGCGTGTATATGTGAACCTGATACCTGTCGATTACTGCTACCCTTTCATTAAAAAGTTGGACGATTCTGCTTTAGTTCAAAACAAGCAATTTTAACCAACAGCACCTACGTGGCACCTGAATATTCGTACACCTCAAACCACGTCTCCCAGACAGCTCGAGGGATCGACCAGTAATTATGACATTGCTTTCTCTTCGTTCTATATTTACGCAGGCGACACCTGGTGACAACAGGTGTACAAATTGTACTTAAATTCAATAAGAGAAATATAATTCGATGAGCTCTCCCGGAAATTGATATGTATTGTGTTAACGTAATGAACCACAAATGGAACGCATAGCATTGTACAATATATATATATATATATATATATATATATATATATATATATATATATATATATATAAATTAATAATAAAATCGGAAATCGCCTCATATGGGGAATAGCCTATTTTGGCAGATGAACATATCGATAAATATACATATAATATATATATATATATATATATATATATATATATATATATATATATATCCATCCAGAGACAGACTGGTTTCGCTGTATAACAGTTCATCGGTGTGGCTAGACATCTGATTGCTTCAAGCCGGGATCAAAACCCTACCAATTTGGCATCAGTTAGACATTCTACCCCAAGCTATCGTCTCACGGCAGAGCGGAATCGACATTTTTAACGTTTTTGCTATGCGAAAGACGTCAGCGAGCTCGATTGGAGTAGAAGAGCATTGCATTAGCAGCAGTAGCTATCATTTATAAAATCACCCTTCCTCTATATAAGGGAGGGATGCGCAAATCGGAAATACAATTGTTTACAAACTTTTGAAATATTTTGAATATCACCACGATGTGCAACAATGCATTGGACACCGATTTATACACTTAGCGTATTACTGTTATATAGTGTATTCTTTCCTTACTGAGTGTTTTAAAATTTAGGCACCCAGCCAAACTAAAATGGGATTAGCAAATACTTTAGCTTGCTTGGTGATTTAGCTAATAGAGTATTTAATAATTGTAGTTGCAGCCTATGTTAACACCAAAATGGTGGATACTGATTTTCAAAGAATATCTTCTTCCTATATAAGCTGGTTTTCAATAGTTTTTATATTTCTAACATTATCTATTTCTTACTCACCAAGGAAGGATAAAGAGAAAAAAAAACAAACAAACAACCTAAAAAACACCGATTTTCAGCGTCTGACGCAAGCACACAACTATATAGCGGGTGTAACACCAAAATTGTCCAAATCGTGTAACAGCAAAATTGTCCATTTGTTAGATTAAGATTTGAAACATTATATCCTAGAAATGATTACAGATATCTTGCTGGAATTCTCTGAAGTTTTTATAACATTATTGGACTCTACTTTGAGCACAAAGAATGTATAAATACTCTTCAAACTTAGCAGAAGAATCGTGATGGAATCGTTCATAAACGAAAATGACATTTTTATCATTAATTAATCAGAGCTAAGGATCGAAAACTCTTGTAGGATTAAAATAAAGTTCATATATATATATATATATATATATATATAATTCCAGGATCATTTTCCACCTTATTCATGATGATCTTCGTCCTCTCTAACCTATTAACTTTCTATCCTGGAGTAACAAGGTGCCTTACAGTGTTGACAATCGATTTCATTTTTTCAAGTTTTTTTTCTTTGCTCTTTGAACTGCCATGGCTGAAACTTCTCTCTCACATACCAAACGTGTTATGAATTAAGTTGGATCTTTTCTAATTGATTTCATTTGCTGTAAGTTGAAATGTTGATCCCTCTTCCTGATCTGGTTTTCCTCTCTACTGTTTCCTCTTTTTGAAACTTATTTACTGTTTTCTTGATGGTTTTTAACTAGACTTTGAAGATGGAAGCCAGCGTATGAATGTCGATGCCAATTAGTGAAGGCCTGAATGATCTTTTTCCTCTCACCATTGCTCAGTTGGGAAGACATAGT